GACCCAGGTAAAGGGGCAGAGTCTATAAATAGGGAAGGGAAGATCACCTGGTCCTTTCTTTCTGCAGTCACACACCTGAGGGAGCAGCTGAGGCCAGCCTTTGTTTGGTTCTTGATTGGGTAGGCTCTATTTTTAAATAGGTTTTACTTTTAAAAATGTGTTAAAATCTAAGGCTAATAATGCATTTCAAGAACTAGATCTTAGAATAATTGTAGTTTATTTTATTAAAGAGAAGTTGAAGAATTGTTAAAAAACCTGTTATTTATTAGACTTCGTGGTGGTGAGGGTCCAAAGCTTGGCGTGATTGTCCAAACACATCAGCTAAAGCACAGGTATGTGTAAGATGGTTTTAAACAAGATTTTAGCCTTTTTTTATATAAATGTAACAGGAATATTTGAAAATATAGATCCCAGTCACCTGCATGCCTTCAACGGCGGGAGGGGAATGTGTTTCTAAGTCAAACATTGCTTATGTTTCATGAAATGTTTCTTTTAAAGTGTTTTTGTATCTTACTGTGTTTTTGTTTGTCTTGTTTCAAATAGAAGTTATTAGGAGAGCCAACCACTGTTTTTTCCCACCGGTTAGTTTTATTGTGCTCACACTAGATCCTTGAATGGGCCATATTTTGTGTTTCTGGCTGTGTTAAAGGGGGAAACTGAAAGACAGAGTAACCATTTTGCATGGGTGTTTTGTGTAATTGGTGTGTAGCATGCAGATAGTGTTTTTCCATAGTATTTGGTTTAATTGGTTTGAGTGTGTGGGTTATTTCCTTATTTGTTTATCAGTTTGGTTATAATTTGTCGGTGCTCAATTCTACATCAGTTTCCCTGGTAACGCAGTCTAGTTCTGAATTGTGTTTTTCTTTTGTTTTGATGTAACAAATAAACTTTATATTCCTATACTGATATAGTAGCCTCTGGTCCAGTTTGTTCTGGCACTTGTGTATGAAGCAGCGTGTGGTTTACACAAAGAACCTTGGTGTTTGGTTTGATAGTAATTTAAATTTCAAGCAGCACACCACAAAGCTTGTTCAAACATGTTTTTATCAACTTAGAAATATAGCAAAAATTCGATCTATGTTAACTTTTAAGGACACCGAGACCATTTTACACGCCTTCATCTCATCACGCCTGATTTATTGCAACAGCCTTTTCACTTGTTTAACCCAAAAATCTATTGATCGACTCCAGACTGTCCAGAACTCAGCTGCCAGGCTTTTCCCGAGGAAATCAGGTCATCTGAGTCAGTGAACTCTTAAGTCCCTTCTTAAAACATACTTTTATAGGAGAGCCTTTCCCGATCTTATTTGACTTTATTTTATCCCTTTATTTTATTCTATTTTACTAATGTTATTTTTATCTTAAACGTGTATTTTAGTCTTTTCAATGTTTTCATGCTTTTATCTTGTATTGTTTTGTATTATTGTCTTTACACTTGTTAAAGCACTTTGTAACTTGTTTTTGAAAAGTGCGCTACAAATAAAGATTATTATTGCACATGCGCAAAAGTGCTCTTGTCTGTCAAGATCTATATAGTCTATGGTCAAGAGTCTTTTTGGGGGGATTTCCATTGCTAAACTAACGGCTATCGCTACCAGAGAGGCAGCATAATAAACTCCTGTCTGTAGGCCGACTCGACACCGTCCCGGATGAGGCAGATGACCGTTGTGTCGTCAGTAAACAAGATGACAGATGGGTCTCCTGTGGTGCAGTTGTTGGTGTAGAGGGAGAAGAGCAGTGGGGAGAGCAGACACCCCTGGGGGACGCCAGGGCTAATAGCCCGGGTGCTTGATGTGATGTTCCCCAGCCTCACCTGCTGACTCCTCTCATTCAGGAAGTCTGTGATCCTCTGACAGGTGGAGGCTGGCACAGTGAGCTGGGTGAGTTTGATGCTGAGGATGTCCGGGATGACGGTGTTGAACGCCGAGCTGAATTCCATGAACAGGATCCTTGCATATGTTTCAGGATGTAATTCAGTCCCAAGTTGACTGCATCATCCACTGACCTGTTAGCAAGGGGCCTGTAACATCCTTCAGGTGGGCCAACACCAGTCTTTCAAAGGAATTCATGACTTCAGATGTCAGTCAGGACGCCGGTAGTCATGTAATCCAGAGATGGCGGGTGTTTTTGGGACCGGGATGACTGTGGAGCATTTGAAGCAGGAGGGAACTTCACACAGCTCCAGTGATCTGTTGACGATCTGAGTTAAGATGGGGGCCAGCTGGTCCGCACAGATTTTCAGGCAAGATGGAGAAACACCGTCTGTGTCAGGAGCCTTCTTGATCTTCTGCCTCTGGAAGAGGTGGCTCACGTTCTCTTCACAGATCTTGAGTGCAGGTGAGGGGTCAGAGGGGAGTGGGAGTGTGTCAGAGGGGGAAGGTGACTGTTTGAAGATGGTGTTGGAGTGGGGAGAGGTGTGACTGTGGGCTTTTCAAACCTACAATAAAAGCCATTCAGCTCGTCTGCCAGTTTTTTATTACCAGCAGTTGTTGGGGTATGGTCTCTTGTAGTTGGTGAGTGTCTGCAGGCCTCTCCACATTGACGCAGGGCGTTGGCTGCAAAGCTGTTATTTAGCTTTTCAGCATAGCACCTCTTTGCTGCTTTGACCTCCTTAGTCAGAATGTTCCTGGCCTGGTTGTACAGGACTCTGTTCCCACTTTTGGTCGGCACACACATGTCCTCACAAAAACTGATGTCACAGTGTCAGTTAGTTCGTCCAGGTCAGTGGCTGCAGCCTCAAAAACACTCCAGTCAGTGCAGTCAAAGCAGGCCTATAAATCCGGCTTTGACTCGTTGGTCCATCTTTTCACACTCTTTATAAAATGGACAGGGACACTTAATATGCTGTCTGTACTTTGGGAGTTCATGGCAGAGGTTTGCTCTTTTGAACTCACCAAGAACTATGAGCAGGGAGTCTGGATGTTTTTTCTCCACGTTAGTTATCTGGTCGGCCAGGTGTAGTAACGCCTCACTAACACAGGCCTGAGGTGGTCCAGACAAATGGGACCTTCTTTTGTCAGACATCAAGCCTGACCGACCCAGCATAAGGAGTGATGTCACAGGTTCAGGAGTGCTGGGAGGTCCAGCTGACCCATCAGGGCATCTGATTTTGCATAATATATAACTAAATTGGTTGGTTGGTTAAACTGAGACCTTTTTGCACTGGGCTCTCTTCAATTCACCTGATGAATGTCTGCTCTCTAACCAACAAAATGGACGAACTGCTTCACCTCAACAGTACTAACTCGGACTCGGATCTGCCGCCCTCTGTTTCACCAAATCCTGTCTCACCGAGCGCATCCCGGACAGCGCACTTCACCTACCGGCATTTAATCTCATCCGCATGGATCGCTAAAGGGAGCTCACGGGAAAAACAAGGGGAGGCGGACTCCGTTTCTATATAAACGAAGGTTGGTGCACAGATGTCACAGTGTTGGAAAAATCATGCAGCCCTCACTTAGAGACATTATTTATAAACTGTAAACCGTTTTATTCACCGCGGGAGTTTTGCTCATTTGTCCTGCCAAGAAGCATACCGTTCATTCTTCTCTGTGGAAAGGGGGGAAAGGAGGGCCCGTGCTCATGCTGCGGAGCAGAAGGTTTTCGGTTCGATCCCCAGCTGGGACAAAGATGGTTTGTAAAGCAGGTGCAGAAGATCGTGGAGGAGTAGAGGTGAGAAGGTGTCGGTATGGACAAGTAAATTCTGAGAAGGTATGACTGTTGAACATAAAATGTGTTCTCTTTAATATGTGCATATATACACTGTATATATATATATACTGCAAATGAAAAAGAGCACTGTTTGTAGTTTTGTGTTTCATCCATCTCCTCAGACTGAGGCCTCCAGCCGGGCTCCAGCAGCAGCAGCTCTGATTGTATCGACCAAATGTGCTGAAATAGCACAAGATATCCTTTCTGTTGTTAACCTCAGTGAGATCATGTGTGCTTAAACATAGTCACAGATAGATGCCTGTATAACCAGCTATCAGTTTTTATTGATTTATTTTAGGAGGCCTGATTGAGCAGCAGATGCCATCAGGGACTGATGGTCTGGCTTTCTGATCTGGTACCTGAGGACAGCTGGGAACTCCTCCTGGTGTGTCAGATCAGCTGATCCAAGATGTCCTGCCTTCATGCCGCGGACTTCCTGTGACACGAACAGCACTCCTGGTACTCCATGCCCATGAAGCACCAGCGGCGGCGTCCTGTGGCAGCCCTGAGCACACTTCTTGACGACTGGAAGTGTTTAAGCTGACAGTTTGTTAAGTGCCAGCTGTGCGTACACCCTGTGGTATTTTGTTCTGTGAGATCTGTAAGGGAACTGGGCTTAAAATCTGATAAACAGTGTGTTGGAACTTGGATGAACGTGACTGAAACAGAGAGATAACTTGAGAAGAGTAAAGGTGAGGATAAGGAGATGCTGTCATTAAATGCTGGGAAAGCCAGAAACTGCTTAATGACCCCAAACACACATGAATATGCAAAGATATGCAAATCTGTGGTTTAAAACTTCATGCAGAGCTTAATCTCCAGTTGTGTTACTCAGAATTGAGCTTTTAGAAATAGTCATATTGCAATAAAGGCTTACAAGAGACCTGAAGTTTCCGTCTGCGTCTCATCTTTGAGTATTGTTTGACGAGTTTAAGTTTTATGGACTAAAGAAATGTCCCATGGCATGGTCTTCAGAGAGGCCCTGGACAGCCTGAGCTTCGTGGCCCACTCCAGCATTCAGGAGGCCCCCAAACACACATCCTGTTGACAGCAGGAGCTCATGTACAAGCTTCATCAGAGTGTGTTGATCGTATAGAGTGATAACAAGTCTGCAGCATTAAAGCTCTGATTACAAGATGATTAATGCAGCTGACAGATTCAAATAATGTTAGGTTTGAGCACGATGCATGTTAAATCTTACTCCCAAGTGTTGCATTAAACGTCATGTTGACATGTCAGGAGTTGTGTAATGCTTCAGATATGACCAGGAATATTACAGCTTCCAAACAAAGTGCACGTTTATTCTTTTATTTGAAACAGACAGGCTGGTGAACATTGTGGAGCATTTAGCAGCAGAATAAATATATAATAAATAAATCATGATAAAAAAAAAAAAAAAGTCCCCTATTGTCCCTTTCCTTGGTCCTCTGCTCGCTGCCTCCTCATCTCCTCCCTCCAAAGTTTGCCCGCTGGCAGCCGCGCAGTATGACACACCTGCGATGCGGGTGTGGCCAGTGTTGAGCCTTTTGGGGTGGCCACACCTGCTGCAGGTGTACTGCGATATCGCTGCGAGACCCCTGCTGCAGCAGCAGCCTCGGCAGCCTTCCTCTTCCTGTATGCCGTTGTCCTGGGCACACGCAGGGCTCCAGGAAGAGGAGGAGGCTGAACAGCAGGGGCCGATGTGACTGTGCCACCCGGGAGCGGCGCTGGAGGAGGAACAGGAGCAGGGAGAAGGCCACCCGGAGGAGGAGCAGGAGGCCAACTGCTGGATGTTCCCGTCTACTCCTCGTCGGGGATGTCGTAGTTAAAGGGCTGTCCTTGTCCCACCTGCACAGAGGACAGCCCTTTAACTGGAGGGAGTGTATGGTCAGCAACAGCTGGAGCAAGGACGACGCCAGTTCCCTGCTCCAGCACAGACCTCTCCCTCTTCTGGCGCCGAGAGAACCTGGAAGACAAACAAAGGCTGTTTAGTTTCTTAGCTTTCACCAAAAGTTCAGACTACAAGATTAACACACAGCAACAAAGCTTAATCTGAAACTCACCACTGGGACTTCTTCCCCTTCGCTGCCTTGAACCGCCCCTTGGGCTGCCTCACCCGGAGTCTGGGAGGGTCAGCTGGATCACCTGACCCGCTGCTGCCACCATATCAGGCTCGAAGACGGTGGGGTCCTTCACATAGTCTTTGAAACCCTCGTCCACGGCCTCCTCGAGCGACTCAACGGCAGTGGCCTCGTCCGGAGTGTCAGGGTCCAAAGCTGATATCCTCAAGCACTCTGCCCGTCTGCTGGTACAGGAACTCCATGCCGATGAGCTCCCCTGTCACACAGCAACAACAGGAAGGATTTGTTAAATACGCAGCAAGTTTGGTGAAGTCCTTAACCACTAAAACCACCACTGTAGGTGTGCAGAGGCGCCACCTGGCCCTCAGCTGCAGTCGGTGGTGCAGCTGCGCGGTCCTCATTCCACCTCACCAGTCCATCGGCCAGGAACGCCTGGAAATGCTTCGCTTTAGCTCGGGTCCCTGAGGAAGTAGGTTGTGGAACAAAAATGTAATTACTTGTGCATGAAGTGTGAATTCAGAATATTTAATCATCACAAGACACATTAAGGTACCTGGGATGAACCCGTTGAGGTGGAAGGACTCCAGAGATGTGGAGCCCCTCGCGCAGCGGTAAACCAGCAGAATGGAGGCGGGACATTGAGAATTTGGAACAAATCCGCGTCTCTCATTGGATGCGCAAAAGTTTGATACTATGAAATTGGTAAGATATTAACTGGATTTCACTCAACAGCCATGGGATCAGTTGTTTGTCTTTTATTAACCAATCTTTGGTGGGCAGTAAGCAGTTGAAAAACCTCAAGAGAGATGACAAATACAAGTTATTATCCGAGTTGATAGCCAAAATAAAATTATTCACATTTAACTCAGATAAACACATTTCTGCCATTATAAGTTACAACGTTTCCAATTTTAAAGTAAATGTTATCCAAATAAATACCCATAATTTTAAATCAAATGATCAGAATTAGTATATTTTTAGCCAAATGCAATACAAAATATTTTAGTAGTAAAAAATTCTATTTACTTTCTAATCATTAGTTTTAAGCTGTATATTTCTAGTAAAGAATTATTATAAAAGGTATCATAGCCACACAACTAGATATGTTGGTATTTTAATTTTCAAAATGTATATTTTCTTATCTTTCCTTTTCCCCACTTGTTTGATAAAACCAAACAACATTTGAAGTTACAAATACCACTGCAAAAAGTCCTATCAAAGTCAGCAAGAGTTAAGAGTCTGTGTTTTACCAGAGCATCATTAGCACTGCACTGCTTAAGTCAATCTAGCCAAAATATGGCCAATATGGCGCTTACCGGCTGTCCTTCAGTTTTGTGGGGGGCTTGGTCTTGCACAATCACTTTAATGACAAAGATCAAGTTTCCTTGGTTTTGTGGTGCTATAAATGCTCCTTCCACTGCGGTCTAAAGACAACAACAGAGCCAGCTACTGGCACGCTCAGATTGCCTGGAAGATTTGTTCCACCTGGTTCACCACTGATTGAAGGGGAGGAGGGGCTCCCAGGCAGTTTGTCAGCGCAGGAACAAATAGAGCCTTCTGATTGGCTGTCGGTTTTCCCGTGGCCGGGACACGCCGAGACGGATACTGCGCAGCGACTGGAGGGAGACCAGGGAGGCGGGACATCGCCGGGAGCTACCACTGGATATGAAATTGGAACATATTGGAACATTTGGAACAGAGATAACAGAAGAGCCTCAAAGAAGAGAGGAGGCAAGAAGATAAAGGTACATAAGAAGGCGGACTGAGCGGTCGCACTTTTTGCAGGCCATGTAAATTGATTTTTAAAAAACCTTCAAACTATCAAAAAACCACTTGTCACTGCCACATGCCCCAGGCACAAAGTATTTAGAGCAAGCTAAACCACTTTTAATTTTCCTGAGCTTCCTTCAACATGTACTGTATCACTATGGCTGGAGCTAGCAACGATCATGGCTACTAACTAAGCATGTGATGATGAAGAAATTGATTTGATGGAACAAACCGAAGAGGTTTGCAGTTCTTCCCCAATTTTTTTATGCTTTTGGGCTTTGAACAGAAGAATTGATCTCATATATACAGTATTTGCAATCAAATCTCCTGTCTGTCCCCAACATTACAAAGGTCCTGCTACCTTTATCCTTCTGGCGGGTCGGTATCTATAAAGCCAAGTGCTTATAGTCCATATTTGTGCTGCGGATGAGAATACTGTACCAACTGAGTCTCTGTCACTCTCTGTTTGTTTGAGTCCTGCACAGGGGCGTCGCACAAATATCTGGGCCTTGTACATAAGCATGCTCTATTAGCCCCTCCCCACATCCACGGCAATTTGTTAGTATCTTTGTGGGCCCTCCTCACATGAGGGCCCTTAGCCTCAGACACCCCGAGTCCAATACCCCTGGCCCTGCAAGCACAATACCAACACCTGTCTCTCTCCCTAGTTTCTCCCTCATGTCCTCTTTTCATTCAGTTGCTCTTCCTGAGGTTTCTTAAATTTTTTTCCTGTTAAAGGGCTTTGAGGGAGTTTTTCGTTGTCCAAAAGTCTCCCCTTAGAGAAAATGTGTGATTTTTGACATTGGGCTATAAAAATAAAACTGATTTGATTACTGAGATCATCAAATTAAATATATTTATAAAGCATATTCAAAAACATCCAGAGTTTGCCAAAGTGATGTACAATTAAATAATATCAATTTTAATTTACTTAAAGAAACAGACGGAATATTCTATCGGAATAATGGAATAATATATCCTGGCCTGAGTTGTTCTGTACTTTGAATGTTGTTTCAGTCTGTTTCCTGTCTTGTCTGGTTTTGGTCTGTGTTTGTAGTCTTTTTGCCTTGTCTGTTCAGTGTTCTGATTCTTGTTTCAGTCGGTTTACATGGTTCGGGGTTCTTGTTCCATGTCTTGTGTTTTTCTCTGATTTCCTCTGTTTAGTTTATTCTTATGTTAACAGTTCATGTCATTCCTGCTTTCTTGTCTTAGCTTTTAGTCCTGTTTCTTTCATGTCTGTGTGTAGTCCTAGTTCTGTGTCTTAGTTCTTAGATCTGTTCTCTAGTTCATCTTTTCCCGTTTGGATCGATCCTGTCTTCTGTTTCATTCATCCTGGTCTGTGTATCTGTCCATTTAGTCCGTTCTCCTGTCTTATTTTGAAATCGTCTGTGTAGGGTGTTTGTCACGTGCTTGGTTTTGGTTTAGGTCTGCATGTCAATCTGTTTTGTCCGTGTACTTGTTTGTCCTGTGTATTCCGATAAGTCTGTTCAGGTGTCTGTTTATGGTTTGTCTGTGAGTGCTGTGTCAGTTAGGTACATTTATAAGATTCTTTTTATTACTTAGAAATCATTAAAAAAAAATTCAAAATTCTGTTTCTGTTGTGTTTATTTTTAAATTAGTTAATTATGTGGATACCCTACAGCAAAGAGTAAAATGCCACACCTGACAATATGGAATATTGTGTTTTTTATGTCATGTTATGTAATGCAAATGTAAATGCTCCGTATTTGTATAGTTCTAGTCTTTTCGACCACTCAAACGCTTTTTACACTACATCTGCATTCACCATTCACACACTAAGTGCTCAAACAGAAACTAACATTCACACACATTCATACAGTGGCAGAACAGCTGCCAGGGGCAATTTGGGGTTCAGTATCTTGTCCAAGGACACTTTGACATGCAGCCTGGGGGATTGAACCGCCGACCTTCCGATTAACGGCCAACCTACTCTACCTCCGCCACGAACCATTTAATTTTAGTGGCATCTAGTGGTTAGAGTTGCAAATTGCATCCCCCCTCCCCTATCCAAGCGAGTTGTATAGCTACGGCGCCTGAGACAGGACAAAGATGTCCTCTGTGAGATAGCAGAGAGTTGCCAGTCAAGAAATCAGGTTGCATTAGATTGATATATTATGAAATTATTTTGACTTGATTATTCAGTAAAAACATATGCTATAGTGAATATTATTGTCACTTGTTCATTAAACAACAGCCACATCAAGAAATGAAGTGCTACATGATGTCTCATACTCCTGTAATACATTATTTTACTGTACTGTAATCATACTTTTTGTTACATCTTGGGAGGGTTGGCTCATCTGGACTAACATACCAAAGTAAATGAAGAACATCTCAAAAAACGATCACATCTAGTGCATCAAGTATGACCACTGAAAGATAACTGAAAAATGTAAGCCTCGCTGTTTCTGCACCACAGTCCATTATAAACCACATAATACATGAAGTTTAAAAAGGCATTGTCAGGTGAGGATCAAGGCTCCTCTCGCTTTGCTTAATTAATTAGATAATCAATCTGCAAATCTTACTGTTGAGAATATTTCTTAAGTGTCTTAATTGATGTAACAGGGAAAGGTAAAACAGGTCTAGCTTAGAGTGTTTCTGACATGTATTTCTTACATGTACTTGTCCTTGTCAGGAAGACAACAATAAACTGATTAGTTAAGAGACAGTAGCTCAGGCGTCAGGCTAGCAAATATCAGTGTTCTTGATTGATTTACGCTGGGTTGATTGTCCCAGCATAAATCATGGCGTTGGTTGTGGCCCCCTGGATTTTACCTATAAATGTAAGTATTGGATTTCAACTCACTTCAAAAGCCACCTACACAAATGTAAAAAATAACAAGAGGCATAAAAATCTACAAGGGATAGTTCAACTCCATATTAAACCCTACGGATTAAGAATAGGATTTCATTAACCATGTTGTGTACATAAACTTTTGCAACATAGTGTATTTCGGATCTTCACCAAGGGTCACCCTGAGGTGGTCTGCTATCACTGTGAAGTGAAATCAGTCAGTGGAAACAGGAGGTTTTCTTACAGGAGGTACAGGAGGTTACTCCGTGTATCATTAGCTCAACACAACAATCCAACAATTTAACTTAACGTTAGCTAACGACGGTTCGCTAACCTTAATTCACTTCGACCACTGCAGTTGGTCGCCTCGATAAACAACAAACTATGTCAAACTGATTACATAAAGATATGTTATGGCTAAAAATACGATAGGCCTATTTATTATACCTTTATGTTGAGTGTTGTTCAGTGTTACTATCTGATGGCGCCCTTACTCAGTGTAATACCCCAGATAGCAGCTGACTCTGGGCCGAATCCGCCTCCAAACCGGCAGATCCGTGTAACAGTCACGCCCGTTTTTACTGTCCCGTTCCAGATAGTATTATATTATATTATATTATATTCATGTAGTCTGTGTGCACTCAGGAGTGGGCGTGAGCATCCATCAGTCGGCGGAATCATAATAGTTCTGGCCCGGACTCGTCGGAACGAGCGTGCGAATTGTTTCTTTTTTTCTCTTTCGAACCGGTTCATACCGGACCAGAAGTCAGGCGGCGGAATCGTAGTTGTTCTGGCCAGGGGCCGTCGGAACGAGCGCGCGAACTGTTTCTTTCTTTGGATCAGTTCGGACTGGAAGCTTTGTGGAAAGAGTTTATAACGGTAAGTTGAACGATGTTTCAGTCAAACAGTTTAGTGAGTTTAGTGTTTTTAATAGCGGTGTAATGCTTGTTAACATCATTAACATCATCACATCGGAATGTTTTGACCGGGTTTTAACTTCTTAAAATGGCTAAAACTGTTGAAGAGGCATTGGCTAACGTTAGCTTTTTAGCTGGACAAGCTAAATTAACCGAATGAACGGATAGCTAAGCTAGCTAGCATTAATAAACAACTTTGTGTGCAGCTAGCTTAAAACATTAATGCTGTTTAACGTTAGTTAACTTACAACGTTGTTGTAACGTTAGTTTCCAACAGCACCAACTGACAGCACCTGTCTCCTTTTTAGGTTCAGTCTTTTCTTCACCCCTGGCTGAGAGCCCGGGATTAATAGGGTTAGTTAAGTTAATTTAAGTATTTTTTTCTGGCTTTGATTTGATCTTGGCTATAGTTGAGCATAACGTTATAAAGTTATGATAGGTAAGTTAAGTGTTTAAAAAATCAAAGCCATCTAAAGAAGTTGGAATTTTCATCTGACATTAATCAAAACGTAAATTCATTATGACAAATAAGGTCTATGGGCGGGAAATCTCCTCTCTCCGTGTCTTTTCATTGACTTTGTATGAAATCACACTGCGGTATTATGGTTGAGGAGCAGTTCCTGATTCATTCTGGATATTTATTTGGGGCGTTTTCCGAGGGATATAGTGTGCTATGTTAAGCTTACCAAGTGTTTACCCTCAGATTTCTGTCAGGAGCTGTAAGAAATGTTATTTGTTTTGTCTAGAGGCTGATGGTTCTCAGTAATTCATCAAATTTTACAGTTAAAAATTACAATGAGGTTCATGATATCAGTACACTGAGATGGCTGGCAGTGGTACAATCAGCATTACTCATTCTTTTTAATTTGCCTCACATTTTTTTGTTGCACGCTTTGTACATAACGTTACTACCACTGGGGTTTTTTCTGGGTTTCACATGACTAGTTGGAGTTGGATATTGTATTTTGGCTATAAAATCTTTGTTATTTATAACATGGTCACGGAAAATGGTTAAAATCTAAATGGCTGGCAGTAATCATCTATCAAGACAAACTTATCGCTTGTCGCTAATTAAAACGTTATCTTGTGTGTTTAGCCGTAGAATCTCGTGTGTCTCCTGGCTTTAGCTTTATATGTAGAGTATGG